CCCACAAATACCTTATTTGGTTTGGTAGCAACTGAATAACAACATCTCTGGTGAACTGCTAATGAAATCCTCTTCTCTTAGCATCTAATCAAAATTCACAGCCAGAAGCAACATGGAATGAATATTCCAGCTAAAACATTAATTATTCTGGTGATAAAATTGCCTCCACAGTGGGCTTCAAGCAGACACATTTTGTGACCAGAAATGCTTAAAACATCATGTTCACCCTTTGATGTTTGAACATTTCAAATTAGGAAGGAGGGAGGGCAAATAAGGCATCTATTCCCCAGCAGGGCCTAGTAGGCATTATGAACATCGGAAAGCAAAGCATGTGCATTTGTAGCTCGTGTTCTTCCAATTCTGGAAAAATGACACTAAGATTTCAAAAGTCATGGCATAGGTACTTAGCCAAATTTAAAAGATTAATAGTTTTATCTCCATTTAGTTAACAATACGTAGATTTCAGTTGTGTTGTTGCTATAGAGTTTACCTGAAGAATACCAGTATTTGTTAAAATTAGAGCAATCTTGTAACTATTTATTTATTGTAAAGTTTTCTCTAAATGCAGACGTGCCATTGGCAAGGTCGTGAACATACAGTATCACAGGCAGCACCATTATCAGAAAGAAAACACTTCAGCATTCTTAGTACTTGCAGAGTTCTGGGCATGGTGATCTGGAGAGAAATTCAATACAATTTACCCACCATCTGGCCTATGTACAGCTTGTTTTCTTATGACAGCTATACATGGCTTTCAACTGTCATTTTAAGAACAATTTTTAAGGCCAGTAAGTAATGGTAGATGCTCAGAGTCCTAGTTGGGAAAAGATTGTTTAATACTGATGACAATAATAATATTAATAGCAATAATTAGCAAACATTGGTACCAGATACTTTAGCAAATGCTTTACTAAAGCATTTACATGGATTATATAATTTAATCCTCACATTAACCCTATAATAGGCAGGGCACTGGGGCTCAGGCCTATAATCCCAGCATTTTGGGAGGCTGTGGCAGGAGTATTGCTTGAGTCCAAGAGTACAGGACCAGCCTGGGCAACATAGTTGGACCCCTATGTCTACAAAAAAATTTTTTTAAACATTAGCCAAGAGTGGTGGTGGTACACACCTCATGACCCAGTTACTCAAGAGGCTGGGGCGAAAGGTTCATTTGAGCCTGGGAGTTTGAGGCTGCAGTGAACCATGATCGTGCCACTGCACTCCAGCACAAGGAACTGAGAGCCTGTTTCAGAACAAAAACAAACAAACAAAAAAAATCCTATGATGATAACATATCATTGTGCTTATTTACAGATGAAGAAACTTGATGCTTCAAGAAATGTGTAAGTTAGGTCACATAGCTAAGAAGTTGAGGAACTAAGTTAATAACCTATGGCCAAACGAGTTCAGAGTTCATTTCATCTCTACACTCTTGGCAGATAAATAGCAGCAGAAATGAGGCTAACAGGCACTGAGTTGACACTGTTCCGAGTTTTTTAACTTATTGAATTTGCACAACTCTGAGATACATATTAATTCTATTATTATTATTTCCATTTTACTAAACAGAGGATATAGAGACACAAAGAGGCTATTAGCTGACCAAGGTCAACACATCTATCTAGTGGTAGAACTGGAATTTTAAAATTCTGTTGTCTGTGAAGTCCATATTATTTGGTGAACAATTTCTAAAACCATTATTCTTTACTTACAGTGTTTCCCATGGTTTTCCAGGCAATTGAAAGATGTATACAATTACCTTTTTCTGTGGTATGAATTTCAGGGTATTCTGCAATGTATTTTTATGGGGATAAAATAGACTGGGGATCAAAAAATAAATAGCCTAATTCTGATTTAAATAACATTAGTTATAACTAGTTTATTTGACCTTGATGTGTCTTTTCATTTTTCCTGATCTTGATTTCCTTGGTTACAAAATGAAGGAGTTATATTAGGTAATTTGGAAGGATCCTACAAGTGAAAAACATATCAATCCTCACCATTTTTCTAAGTATATGACTGTGTCAGCACTCAACCTGTTATAAAATTTTTTCTCTAAAGCCAATGCAAGGTTAACTAATTTTCCTATTGAACTCTGTTTACCTATGTTTGGGGACTAACCTGACAATGTACTTCTGAATAGATAAAGTTTTACTTCCAGAGAATATCCTATTAGAAAAACACACATCGCCTTTCCTGGGAATCACTTTTGGTGTATTTGCAGTAAAACGACATTCAACAGACTTTTCCCTCCATAAGCCTTGGAGAAAATTGTTAACATTAATTAAACGTCGGAAAGTGGACTTTACAATATGAACTTTAAAAAGCATCTCTGGAAATAAAGTTCTGATATTCAAGCATGCCCTTATTTCATAGATATCTTTAACTGTCTTCTAAAAGCTAATTTTCACTGGGTGGCTCAGGAGATATTCCCCAAGAATGAGTACAAAGAGCAAGACGTAATCACTCTGTTTCTTGGGCTTAAGTAGAAAATGAATCTCAGAAAATGAGAAGTAGGAATGTGTTTGAGACAGTGAAGCTATAAAAGACACACTTCCCGTGGATGGAGAAATTTGCTTGCAAGAAGAGCTGCACTGAATGACGGAGTTAAAGACACTTAAAGACAAGTGTCTTTTTTTTTTTGAATGAAAAAGTATACGAAAGCTCTCTATGGTGACTAATTCTTTAAAAAACATATTTCTATTCTAAAACTATTGCAAGAGTGAAATAAATGTTTGCATTTTCTACAAAAGTCCAAGAAAATAACCAAAACATGTAAAACAGGCGATTGGTTGATTAAATGTGCCACGACCATGCAATGGAATGTTGCACAATCATTAAACATAATACTCTAAAATATTTAATAGAAAGATGTTCATTTATTTTGAATTTTAAAAATATCTCCCAAAACAATAACCTAGTGATAATGCCATTTGGCAATGTGTGAATGTAGTACATTTAAGCATCTATACCAATGTGATAGCTGATTACTTATTATCTTAGTTTATGTGTATTTTATAATTTTTGGTAATTAATAAGCATGTATTAATTCTTTAATGAAAGCAAATATATATTTAAAGTAGCTCAAGAAGGCAGATCCTGTGTGCAATTACCAAGACATAATATATCTCAAATGGCACAATTTCTTAGACTGAGGGTTTGTTGCTGTACATTGAGGCCTTCCCTGGTGAAGCTGTTCTGAGCTCTGAACCACTTCTGCTAGGCTGTCAATAAATAACCCCTGCTTGGTAGGCTTAATATAATCCACCTTTGGACACCCACACAATAGCTAAGTGGGACCAAGTGTTCATTGTTTATCTAAGAAGAGAGTCTTACACTGACTATGGCTGCTTGTACATCAGCACTGTAACAGCTCTGGGAGGAGAATTGTTATGACATGGCTTTTCAAAATAGCAACCATAAAATAACCACTTGCACTCACCCATGATACTTAACCCTGTCACTGGCAAGATCAGATTTACAGCTGGAGCCAAAAAGTCTGTAGTTTCTCTCCCTGAATCATACTTTAAAAGAAGAAAGCACATTAGAGATCAAAATGTGGAACTCTGGGAAATCACATCTATTAAATACTTAATTTTGTTAGTGGCAGAAGTATTAGTAACCAGAAAAATGAGAGAAACAAAGACAGAAGCCACCACATTAAAATATGCCCTAAAACAGCTTTAAATCCATTAGGAAAAAAAAAACACACACACACACACAGGAGAAAAAATGTTGGGCTGAAAACTCTTTAGATTTATCCTTTTGAAAATTATTCTTCCAAAATGTGTTCTCATTTTCTAAATAAAAATGAAGTAATAAAATTCATGTATTACTAAACAAATGCTATATAGGCACTCAAGTAAGGTACACCATACAACTCCATAATGGTCAAGTTGACAGCATTGAACAAAGTCAGGGGTGCATAAGAGCAGGCTGAATAGATGGCAGCTCCTGCAATTGGGCAACATGAAGGCACCAAGTGACTTTCTGTAATCATAGTACATTACACAGCCATTTCCCCACTGTACAGATTGTATTTGATTTTTAGACATACCCAGTGAAGCACAGACAACAATGATGATTGCTCACATCCCATTTTCAGGTAAGGATACTGATGTTAATGAATTACCCACAGTAGGAAACAGTGCTTGAAAATGAGATTTCTGACGCCAAAGTGAAAATATCAACCCTTGAAAACTCAGAAATTCCAGGTTAGTAAATTATTGTTCTATTATTCACTATATAAAATAATAAAATTCTTGAGTTTTTAAAAAATTAAAGCTCTAGAATGTTTTTGTTTCCTGAATATCCACCACCTTTGTTCCCCCAGAAAACAGTTCCTTTATATTTTTAATTTAGGTAAAATTTATATAACATATAGTTATCCATTTTAAAGTAACGATTCAGTGACATTTAATACATAGACAAATTTTCCCCCACCAGCACCTCTATGTACTTTCAAAGTGTTTTAATCACCCAAAATAAAACTTTATACCCATTAAGCAATTAGTCTCTTCACCCCACCACTTCTGTGTTCTATATTTATTAATTTACTTACTTTGGCTATTTCATATAAATAAAAGGATACACTACATAATCTTGTGCTAGCCCCTAACACAAAGCTAGGGCAGAGGGGATGAGAAATTCTAGCAAAACATTTTCTAGGGAGATAACATAGCCCTCAATTAGGAGGTGGAGAGAGATCTCTGTGTCTTTGGCTGCTCTGTGTCTTTTGAGCTGAAAGGTTGATAAAGAGATGAGTCACGTTCAAATGCCAGAAACTCTATTCTTACCAAGTTGTAGTAAGTTTTCTTTTGAAAAACCTTCTGCATTTGTATGTGCTCTTAGGACGCTCTCCAGAGCATTAAATCATTGTTTCTCTCATGTAAATTTTATTAGTTACACTTATTTCACAGGGGAACAGGACAACAGAGCTCTTCTCACTTTCATTGTGAAGTAGAACTCTGCTCTTTGCTATTTTAATGCTAGAAATAAACATGGTTATTGAGCAGGCCCAGGTAAAAAAGTATCACGAAATATTTAAAATTGGTAAGAACCTTAAAGTCAGGTAGTATACTAACTCAATCATTTTACTCAATATTTTTTACAGATTTTTTTAAGTGGACATTTAGAAACAATAAGGAGCATCCTAGCCACGCAGCTATTTAATGCCAAATGGAAGAGTGAGAGAAGGTCATATGTGGGAAAATTCTTAGATTCCACCTTAAAAAGGTGCCTATTTATCATGCAATAAGTTTATTTCTTGTCCTACTAGATGGCTCATGTGACTTTCTAGACTCAGCTTCCCTAAGTAGCTCCTGAGTGGCTTCTTTCTTGTACCCTGGTGCACCAAGCAGTGCATTTGTTATTAGCTTCAACGCATGAGGCACAACTGAAATAAAACCAGTTTAAATTTTGTAAGGAAAGGTGCAGCAGTATTGTAGAGCTATTTCTTCTATAAGCACTCATGCCCTCACATATATAATTTGCAGGATGTTATTTTAAATACAGAAATGTTATATTCATATGTAGATATAAATATGTAAAAATAACAGGGTTGGCTTTTTTTTTTTTTTTTGCCATTTCCATAGCTCCAGGAAAAATAACACATTTAAGGAATGTTTGAACTCATAAAGAACAATTATCTTATAAATGTGTTTTCCTAAATGATAAATTAAGAATTTAATGTTAGATCCCGAACCTCAGTTTAATATTGTAATGCTATTTTTAGGATGGTTCCTAAAATATTTATCCCAATAGCTAATAGAGAAATACAGAGCACATCAACGTAGTAATCTTTTGAAAAGTCGCTCAAATAAATCACTCAGTGCCACCAGAATGTTTGTGAAACAGGATAGTAAAAAAGAAAATATTTTGGAAAATGTGTATCAAAATGTACTCTGCCTAATAAAAATATCCTGGGGAGAAAAAAAGCATATTGAAGATCTACATGTATATTTTAAAAACACTTTTAGTTCATGGGATTAAAGAGTCAAAGTAGATAACCAAAAAGTTTTATCTTCCCTGCTGATTAACACTTTCAGTGAGCCCTGAGAGTTCTCTTTTGCTAACTTTACAGAACTATGATAAAATTAAGATTTTTGCATTCTTCAGTTGAAGATTTATGAACTGGGTTTTTGGCCATGTCATTCCATGATTGTATAAAGCTAAAACCTATTGATTCTAATTCATGTTTACGTTATCCAACCTAAAAAAATTACCTATCCTGATTTCACTTGAAAAGGAAGACATTTCTCAAATATCACAGTAAAGATTATTATAACAATAAGACAGCAACCTTAAAATTTTAGATAAATTTACTTTTTTTCTTCTGCCTGAAGGAAAAAGGAGAAAGAGAAAATAATAAGGTACTGCAGATGAAAAGCTCCATTCACTCATCTGTTCATGCCTTGAAGTTATAAATATTATTTAATATATCTTAGTGCAGAAAACATGTGAACAAACAGTCAATAACTTGAGAAAGCTATCTGGACTTTTCCTCAGAATTGTCTTGCTCTGTGACTATGGGTTTGTGTTTTCTAGAACTGCATAGCCAGGAGTTTTTTGTGCCTCAGGAAAGCCATAGGACACAGAGGATCACATGGCAATTTATACTGTTTGTCACGAGGAAACTTTGGATAAAGATGCTCTTTGATTTGTTAGACGGGGAATGGGTGGGCATGACACAACTGGCAGGGAAGAATTAGGTGAGAGAAAGTTTTCATCCATGTTTAGTTATGGAAAGAATCCAGAAACTTTCAAAAAATACAATCTGTATAATGATGTCATATTGTGAGGTCAAATCTTAGGAAAATCAGGCAGCCATCTAAAAAGCTTGATCTAGGCTATGAGAACTCATTGGAATCCATAGACAGGTGTTCTATGACTTCCTTTGTATCATATGTAAAATTTGATGTGTTTGTATATATGCTAATATTTCCACAAAGAGAGTTCATGGCCTCTATAATATGTGACTCAGAGAGTTCCATGATTTATTCAATAGTCGGCCCCTACTCTGCCATGCTAGACACTGGGTGTGGTTGTACCTATTATCTCTTTTTGTTTAAAAATAAATCCCTGGGCTCATTGCCTTAAAGTGGTATACTGGGTCTTTCTTGCACTGCTATAAGGAAATACCTGGGACTAGATCATTTATAAAGAAAGGAGACTTAATTCACTCATGGTTTTCCAGGCTATATAGGAAGCATGATGCTGGCATCTGCTTGGCTTCTAGGGAGGCCTCGGGAAGCTTACAATTGTGGCAAAAGGCAAAAAGGGAGTTGGCATATCACCTGGTGAGAGCAGGAGCAAGGGGGGAGGGAGGTTCCACACACTTCTAAAACTACCATATCTCATGAGAACTTATGTGAAAACAGCACCAAACCATGAACGATTGATCCCCATTACCCAAACAGCTTCTACCAGACCCTACCTCCAACACTAGAGATTACATCTCAACAAGAAATTTGGAGGGGTAATCCATACTATATCATTCTTCCTCTCACCCCTCAAGTCTCATGTACTTCTCACACTGAAAAATGTAATCGTCTCTTCTCAATAGTTCAAAAGTCTCAACTCATTTCAGCATTACTCAAAGTTCCAAAGTCCTAAGTCTAAAGTTTCATCTGGAAAATCTGCAAAATCAATACAAGTTATTTACTTCTGAGACACAATGGGAGTACAGGCATTTGGTAAACATTCCCATTCCAAAAGGGAGAAATTGGCCAAAACAAAGGAACTACAAGGCCCCATGAAAGTCTGAAACCTAGCAGAGGAGTCATTAAACCTTAAAGCTCCGAAATAATCTCCTTTGACTCCATGTACCACATCTATGGCATGCTGCTGAGAAAGATGGGCTCCCAAGGCTTTGGGTGGCTCTGCCCCTGTGTCTCTGCAGGATTCATTCCCTGTGGCTTCTCTCATGTGTTGGAGCTGAGTTCCTGAGACTTTTCCAGGCACAAGGTGCAACCTGCCCATGGATCTACACTTCTGGGGTCTGGAGGACTGCAGCCCCTGTCGCACAGCTCCACTAGGCAGTGCCCCAGTAGGGAGTCTGCATGGGGCCTCCGACCCCCACATTTCCCCTTGGCACTACCTTACTAGATGTTCACTGTGAGAGCTCCATTCCTGCAGCGGGCTTCTGCCTGGGTCACCGGGCTTTTTCATACATCCCCTGAAATCTAGGCAGAAGTTGCTAGTCTTCCTTCACTCTTGTACTCCATGTGCCTTTGGACTTAACACTACATGGAAGCAACCAAGGTTTATGGTGGGTTGTACTTTCTGGAGCAGTAGTCTGAGCTGTATTGGGATCCTTTGAGCCTTAGCTAGAGGCAGAATGATCAGGATGCAAAGAGCACCTTCCTGGTGTGGTATAGAACTGTTAATATTGAGTCCTCCTTGGCCTCTGGGATCTGTAATGGGAGGGGCTACCTAGAAGATTTCTGAAATACCTTCAAGGCCTTTTTCCCATTGTCTTGGATGTTAGCACTTTGCTGCCTTTTAGTCATGCAAATCTCTCTAGCAAGTGGTTGCTCCATAGCTCTCTCAAATTCCTCTCCTGATAATGCTTTCTTTTTCCTCTGCCGCATGTCCAGGCTGCAAATTATCCAAACATTGATGCTCTGCTTTCCTTTTAAATACAAATTTGAACTTTAAGTCATTTCTTGGCTCCTACATCTGAGCATAGGTTGTTAAAAGCAGCCAGACCACACCTTGAATGCTTTGCTGATTGAAATTTATTCTACAGATATCCTAAGTCATCACTGTTAGTTCACACTTCAACAGATACCTAAAGAATGGAGATACTACAGCCAAGTTCTTTGCTAAGGCACAACAAGGGTGATCTTTTCTCCAGTTCCCAATAAGTTTCTCATTTCCATCTGAGACCTCATCAGCCTGACCTTCACAGTCAATATCTCTGTCAGCATTTCAGTTACAATTATGTAACAGTCTCTATGAAGTTCCAAACTTTCCCTCATCTTCCTGTCTCCTGAGCTCTCCAAACTCTTCCAACCTCTATTACTCAGTTCCAAAGCTACTTCCACATTGTCAGGTATCTTTATAACAATGGAGGAATGACCTAACACAGAAACTTGGTATGAGAAGTGAGGTATTTCTGGAAAGAATCAGATCTTATGAGAACTCATTATGAAGATAGCACAAAGCCATAAAGGATCCACCCAAATGATGCAAGCACATCCCACTAGGTCCCCCTTCCAACACTGAGGATTATATCTCAACCTGTGATTTGAAGGGGACATCCAAACTATATCAAGCAGTAAGCATTTCTTTTTTCTTATGGATCTATGTGTCACTTGGGCTGTCCTGACAGCATTTCTCATGTATTTGTGGACAGCTGGTACATTGGCTGAAATTATGAGGTTTAGGACAGCCTCCCACACATGGCTGGCAGTTGTCTGCTGAAGGCAATGGCAGTGACTGAGGCACTGCATGTCTTTCATCATCCAGCAGGCTAGCTTAGCCTTACCGATATTGCAGTAACAGGGGTCCAGAAGAGGATCAAAGCATGCAAAGCTTTTTGAGCTCCAGGCATGAATTTAGAATACCACATTGTGCCTTGTTTTTCCAGTGCTAGTCACAAATTTAGCCCAGATTAAGAGGTGGAGAAACATAATCTACCACCTTATCAGAGAATATTCAAAATCACACTGCAAAGGACATGGTACAGGGAGTAAAATTTAAGGGCATGTATGCATTCTCCCAGTGATTGTCCAAAAGATTGGCTTCAATTGATTACCATGCCTTTATCCACACCACTGCCAGGGTCTCATCATGGGTACATTGTATTTCCCAACTCTGGCTTCATTGCTGGCCATGTACTTTGATTTGGCTAAGACATGCAGGTGGAATTCCTTAGGAACAGACAAGTTTTCCTAAGGTTTGTTAACTGAACCAAGGTTCAGTTCTGAACCTAGACCTCAGGAAAACTTGTCTATTCTGCTTGCCCACTTTTTATTATTTTTATTTTTGGTGGTTACATAGTGGGTTCATATATTTATGGGCTGCATGAGACGTTTTGATATAAGCATGCAGTCTATAATAATCACATAGGAGTAAATAGGGATATCCATCCCCTTAAGCATTTATTTTTTGTGTTATAAATAATCCAATTATACACTTTTGTTATTTTTAAATGTACTACTAACTTTTTTACTATAGTGACCCTATTGTGCTAACAAATACTAGCTCTCATTCATTCTTGCTATTTAATTTTTTTACCCATTTACCACCCCAAGTTCCTCACACACTCCACCACACTTCTCAGCCTCTAGTAACCAACTTTCTACTCTCTATCTCCATAAGTTTAACTATTTTAATTTTCAGTTCCCACATATAAGTGAGAACACATGAAATTTGTCTTTCTTTGCCTGATTTATTTTACTTAAGAAAATGACCTCCAGTTCCACCTATGTTGTTGCAAATGACAGTATCTCGTTCTTTAATTAATATGACTGAATAGTACTCCATTGTGTATATGTACCACATTTTCCTTATTCATTCATCTGTTGGTGGACATTTAGGTTGCTTCCAAATCTTGGCTATTGTGAATAGTGCTGCAATAAAGTTGGGCGTGCAGACATATTTTTTATATACTAGTTTCCTTTGTTTGTGGTATATACCTGGGAGTAGTATTGCTATATTTTGTGGTAGGTGTATTTTTAGTTTTTGAGGAACCTCCTTACTGTCCTCACAGTGGTTATGCTAGTTTACATTCCTAGCAACACTGTTTGAGGGTTCCCTTTTCTCTGCATCCTTTCCAGTATTTGTTATTGCCTATTCAGATTTTGGGTCTCTTCATGGTTTCATCTTGGTGGGTTGTATGTATCTAGGAATTTATCAATTTCTGCTAGATTTTCCAATTTATTGGTATATAGTTTCTCATAGTAGATCCTGGTTATCTTTTAAATTTCTGCTGTTTTAGTTGTAATGTCTCCTTTTTCATCTCAGATATTACTTAAATCTTCTCTCATTTTTCCTTAGTCTGGCTAAAGGTGTGCAAATTTTGTTTCTCTTTTTAAAAAAAACCTTTTTTTAATTTCAGTGATCTTTTATATTTTTCCTCATTTCAAATTTATTTATTTGCTCTGGCCCTTATTTCTTTTCTCCTACTAGTTTTAGGTTTGGTTTGCCCTTGCTTCTCGCATTTTTTAAGATGCATTGTTAAGTTGTTTGAAGTTTTTTATGTTTTCTTTTTTATGTAGGAACTTATAACTATAAACTTCCCTGCTTGTCCTTTTATGTCTTGTCATTGCCATATGAAAAACAAGTCCCAGAAGAAGGATGAGAGAAATGTGGAGCTAGATCTAGACCTGCTGAGCTGCACTGTGAAAAAGATGATCCCAACCACCACAGCCTTAAGAAGAGACATCTCTGCTGATCCACAGGTTCATGAGTATGAACAGCATTATTGGCAATGGTGGCAATAGCCAAATGATATACCAAAGAGATTATAGTGTGAAAGATACACAAGATCACTTCCTTAATGGAGCTTGCAATTCAGTAGGGAAAAACACACATAAATAAATAAACAAAAATATATAAAAATAATTAGTGTTATGAATAAAGTGAAATGAACAAGAGGCTGGTAACGGATCTTCTTTTACAAAGGTGACTAAGGACTGCTCACCAACTTTTTTTTGCCTTTTTATATACATTTCAGTGGTGTCAACATGGCCTCAGTCACAGAAGCCTGTGTTATGGAAAATGGTTGTCACTTTACAACTGTTTTATAAGAGATGCCCTAGTTATTAAACTTTAACTGTGGCTCTGACAATTCTCAATAGAGTTTAATATTAGTGCATGATAAAGTGACTGGCATATGGTGAATATGCCAATAAATAAAAGTTGACATAATTTTAGAACACCATACTGGGTTAAAAGTAAAACATTGCTTCTCATTTTACTTTTGGTAATGAGTCAAACAAAATTTATGTATGTTAAATGTTTTACTTGCTTGTTCTGACATACTTGGGCAATCTGAAATTTATGTGCCACTGCCATCCTTGAGCACACCACTAGGTTTTATGAAAAATGGGTAATTACTGCTTCTTGGCTAGATGGACAGTTCAAAAATAAAAGGAAGAAATCTTAGAGCAATGTTAATTTGGCTTCCAATAATAAGTTTTAGAGAAAAGAATGAAGCCTTCTTACCTACAGTGATATTGATTCATCCCTTTAAATAGAAGATATTCCACATTATTTTCACTTAGTTTACTTTAGACCAATAAGTATTTATGAGTGCTATATAGGAAGAAGAGAGGGAAGGGAGAAGGGGAGGAGGAGAAGAAGGAGAAAGAGAGAATTAGGAGATGAAGAAGAGGAAAGGCAAAGAAGAGGAGGCCAGTCTAGAAAGTAAGAGTCAATGCCTATACCAAAACGTGAAATATAAGATGTCTGACTCATTCATTGTCATACCATCACCTTCTCTCAGCTTATCCCACAAGGAACTCTGGTCATTACAAATTCATATTTACACCATTTTGACTAAATCCCAATTTCTTTGGGATTACTGGTATATTAAATATTTAAAATATTAAGAGTGTCATCATTTTTCCGGGCAGCCTTCCCTGACTAACTACAATTACCAATATCTTACTTTAAATTTGATTTGTATATCACATTCTACCCAATTACTCTCTTGGATTTGCCTTTTTGGTGGTTCAGGATGACTATCTACTTAGTTTGTGTTGTGTTACTCTATAAAGTTCTATCTCCAAAGAAAAGATTAAAAAGCCTGCTTCTTCTTTCCCCACTGAAGATGCCTAGATCTGGGCTGGAAACAAGCCAGTTCCCATCACTGGAATCTATTGGCATGCTGGAATGAATATGCAACAAGGCAGACTTGACATAAAGCAGAGAGAGTAAACATATTGCTTGATCACCACTGTTTTCTAAGTCAGCATGTGGCCTTGTCCATATGCAAGTGGCCTGCAGACCCAGTCATTATCCCTCCTTGCCCTCTGTCTAGGACAGACAAGCACAGTTGGCTCCACCTTTCAGATTCTGACCTACTTCATTCAAATATTCCCATAAAATGGTTCCTGATTTCACAATTTTCATCTGTTTCTTTGCCCCCAGAAATGAATGGTGTCTATTAGAAGCAATGATGTATTAAAAATTAACCAATTGCCAAATAACATTTGGGAAATTTTTATGACAAACAAGAATCAGTTGCCAATAACTAGACTTTCTATTTCTTGTCTCAAATCTAGATTAAGGACATCTACTGGGAAATAAATATACGTCTCCTCAAGACATCACTATTGCAGTTGCTACTTCATACCTGTCTTGAGTCATAATCTTTCCTTTGGTTATAATCGTATACCTTTGCACATCCTGAAACCTTATTTACAATTATTTTTACAGAAGAAAATTCAGAGGAAGTTTCAAATTGTTGGAAAAGCATCTGGTACCAGGAGGTGATGCAGACATCTAATAGTTGCAGAGCCCATAGCAACAGGTGGGCAATTACTGTTTGATTATTATCCACCAGGTGGAAAATCATATTTTATTTGATTTTTTTTGAGATTTGAGTGTTGTAATGATTCCCAGAAGGAGAATATGCCCTCACTAGACCTGAGCTGGGCTGATGTCTGTAGTTATGTTATGATTTCCTGATGGTGTGGTCCCATCATGCTCACATCAAAGTGACATTTCACAGTCTGGCTTCCACTTCTGTCTGGCTCTGAAACAGGGAAGGGAACACAATACCATGCAGTGGCCCTGATTTGAAATGCACATTTTTGAGGAAAGTGCTGACTACCAGAGGGAAGAGAGGAAATACCATGGAGAGCTGTTTAAATCATACTTATGCAGAGAGGTCTGGATAGAGGGGGTGGGCAGATGAGAGAGGAGGGGGAGAAGAAAGCAGTGAGGAGACAGAAAAAGCCCTAAGTCTTGGGTCCATTGCTCCGGTTTTCTAACTGTGAGCTACTTAGTAATGTCAGTGCTCCCATCATACAACCCCCAAGGATTCTTCAAAGAGCCTGTGAAGAAATACACAGTTCCTGGTCACATTTTGGCTGTTTATCAAGAAGTCCACAACTCTCCTCTTGAGCCCATGAGTCCTCTTTGGGTCTTGCCCTAAAGAAATGGAAAAAAAAAAACAAAACACCACATGAAAACAAATTTACACATCCTGTCTCCCTTCCTTATGTAGCACCAACACTATTATTGCTGAATAAAAATGAAGTACTAATAATTTGGGGCCTGGACTTAATTGTATTTGTTCCAGATTCACTTAGACATTAAGTCAGGTCTGCTTCTACTGCTACATGCTGGGGTTTTGCTTTGAAGAGAAGGCAAAAGAAGAGACGGGCATGATAGAAGACAATACAGCTATGCAGAACTGTTTTCAGCACCATGGACAGTTGTCTTTAGACTAGTTGTCCAGTACCTGTGAGAAAAACATTTGCAAAAACTATCACCCATCAATTCCTTTAAAGTCATTCTTAAAAATCATTTTGATCTTTACTACTCTAACTTTTATGTGGATCCCTTCGGTGGCCAAAAATTCAGGCAAAACATATCAGTAGTATGAGAAACTTTAGTGCCAAATGACGTTAGCTTCTTTAATCAAATTTTTTTCAGAGCAGCATTATTTCTTTTTAATAAAATTGAATTATATCGATGGCCTCTTTAGTCAGATAACTTGCTTTATATAAATAAATGTTTACATCTACTCCATATACATTTGCTCCATTTTCATAACAGTGTAACACTAAGGAAACATCAGGAACTTTACATGCTCTGGCCCACTGGCCACATTAACAGTTTAAATTCTAATGTTAAAGAGCAGAGTAGTGTGACATAGATAGCAATAATACATTATATATTTCAAAACAGCTAGAAGACAGGATTTGAAATTTTCTTGAAATATAGAGATGATACGTATTCAAGGTGATGGATACTTCAAATATCCTGACTTGATCATTACATATTCTATGCATGTAAAAAGTATTCTCATGTACCCAATAAATATATAAAATAATATGTATCAATAGGTTTATAGGTTAAAATCTAGAGATTCTAGAATATCACCCCTGACCAACCTGGGCCAGAATTTTGAAACTACTCCTGGGCCAACCATGCTTTTAGAAGCAGTAGAGCCGCTTCTTAAAATCACCCATCTTCCCAATTATTTGTTCTAGCTTCTAGTTGATTTTAATTCTTGTTATGGCTATTAGTTACACATTGTTTTTTGGTGAGGTAAAAGAAAAAAGATGTTAAATGAAGAACAATGAACCAAGGAAAAAATGTCTTTGGTTTTAACCTGAGAACTGATAATAACTAGCAAGGTGATCTTGGAAAGTCATTTAACTCTTTGGGCCTCTATCTCCTGAAACAGAGTGCTTTAGATTAAATTTACACGTTCCATTCCAACTGAAAACAGATGTATGTGTATATATTTTATAGTAGCCAAAGAAGTAACCTGAAAATTAATCACATTCACAATTTTAAATGATTCTATTATCAACTGGAATTCAGCAGCACTTCAGTTTTCTGTAGCTAGTTTAATGTTCCAGGTTTATTATCATGACAATTTTCAATTTAAATAATTCTATTACATATAATGAAAACCTTAAACCCACTTAATAACTTCTATAAAAATAAAGGAAAGAAATAATTATTTTGTGTTATATATAAGAATAAAAGCTAGGGGGAGGACAAGATGGCCAACTAGATACAACCAGATAGAAGAGCTGCCACTGAGGGACTGAGATGACTGGCATACTCCCAGCATCATCGTGATACCAAAACCTGGCAGAAATATACAAAAACAAAAACCAAAAAAAAAGAAAGAAAACTTCAGGCCAATATCCTTGATGAGCATAGATTCAAAAATCCTCCACAAAATACTGGCAAACCAAATCCAGAAGCACATCAAAAAGCTAATCCATCATGATAAAGTAGGCTTTATCCCTGGGATGAAGGTTGTCTCAACATACACAAATCAATAAATGTGATTCATCACATAAACAGAACTAAAGAAAAAAACACATGATTATCTCAAGATGCAGAAAAGTCTTTTGATAAAATCCAATATCACTTCATGTTTAAAAACTCTCAATAAACTAGACATTGAAGGAACATATTTCAAAATAATACGATTCACCTATGACAACCCACAGCCAACATCTTACTGAATAAGCAAAACCTGGAAGAATATCCCTTGAAACATAAGACAGGAATGCCCTCTCTCACCACTCCTATTCAACATAGTGTTGGACGTCTTGGCCAAATGAATTAGCCAAGAGAAATAAGGTAAATCAAAAGGGAAAAAGGGAAGTCAAACTGTCTCTGTTTGCAAATGGCATAATCTTATATCTGGAAACTCCATAGCCTCAGCCCAAATCTCCTTAAGCTGATAAACAACTTCAACAAAGTCCCAGG